GATAGATAGATAGATAGATAGATAGATAGATAGATAGATAGATAGATGGATGGATGGATGGATGGATGGATGGATGGATGGATGGATGGATGGATGGATGGACGGACGGACGGACAGACAGACAGACAGACGTATTGGTAGATAGGTAGGTAGGCAGGCAGGCAGGCAGATAGACAGATCTTTTGGATGGATGGATGGATGGATGGATGGATAGGTAGGTAGGTAAGTAGGTAGGTAGGTAAGTAGGTAGGTAGGTAAGATAGATAGATAGATAGATAGATAGATAGATAGATAGATAGATAGATAGATCTATATTGATAGGTAAGTAGGTAAGTAGGTAGGTAGACAGAAAGATAGACAGACATGCAGGCAGGTAGGTAGATAGGCAGGAAGGCAGACAGACAGACAGACCTTTGGATGGATGGATGGATGGACAGACAGACAGAAAGAAAGAATGCGACAGCGGCAGCACATTGGGAAAGAAGAGCAAAGCCAGAGTGGCTTCGCTCTACTTTCCCAATGTGCTGCCACCACTGCATTCGATGTGCCAGCTCTGCAAGCTCACCCCATTGAGCCCCTTGAACCACTCTGGTGCAACAGTCAATGGGATGAGTCTGCGGTGCCGGCACCTCGAATGCCTGCCTGCCATCTCTTAGCACCCCCAAGGAGGCTGGCAGAGGGGCAGCAAGAGGCAGAAGGGGGGCATTCAAGGCACTGGCCCTGCAGGCTCACCCCATTGACTGTTGCACCACTCTGGAGGCACGTTGGGAAAGTAAAGCAAAGCTGCCGCCACCGCATTCGAGGCACTGGCTCCAGAGCAGTGTAACAGTCAATGGGGTGAGCCTGCAGGGCCAGCGCCTCAAATGCCCTCCTGCTGCCTCTTAGTGCCCCTCTGCCAGCCCCCTTGGGGGCATTAAGAGGCGGCAGGGGGGTGTTCAAGGCGCCAGCACCGCAGGCTCACCCCATTGACTGTTGCACCAGAGCGGTGCAAGGGGCTCAATAGGGTGAGCCTGCGGAGTCGGTGTGTCAAATGCAGCCAGGATGGCACGTTACTCTATTTTCCCAACATGCCACTGCTGCCACATTCGAGGCGCCAGCTATGGAGTGATGCAACAGTCAATGGGGTAAGCCTGCGGGGCCAGCGCCTCGAGTGCCCCCTGCTGCCTCTTAGCGCCTCCCTGAGGCATCCCACCAACCCCCAGGGGGCGGTACCACCCACTTTGGGAACCACTGGTCTCAATCTTTTTTTTTTTAAGAGTTATTTTTTTAAAACAAACAGACACATACAAAACATAAAAACATAAAAACATCTTCCATTTTATATACACATACTGTCTGTGTGTGCTCCCTTCAAGATCCAAGAAAGAAATACTCAGACTCCATGAATTAGAGCAAAGTTCTCCTTTTACTGGAAATCAAAGTGGAAGCACAGATTGAATTCTGAATCTGAGGAATTGGCGCACAGATCACATATACAAAGGAATGGAATTGTTCCCACCCCCCAAAGTCCAAATGACTCTTCCAATTAAAAGTTCTGAATATGATCATGTGGGCATCTTCAGGTGGTGATGAGGCCTCTGTTCGTTGACCTTGACATATTTTGATAAAACTTCGCAGCTGCGCAGAAGGAAAAGAAAGCTAGCAAGGAAATAGAAAGTTAAAGACAAGAATTTATACACCCCCTCCCCTTTCTTACCCACATCACAGGAATGTAACCCCTCCAGCTCTCTTCCCCTCCAAGTCTCCCCTCCCCCCGTTGCTAATGACAGCCGAAAGAAAGTGAGCATAGCAACAGAGAAGATAGCAACAGAGAAGATGCAGAAAAGATGTAGAAGATATCTTGAGGCTGACACATACAGTGTGTCACTTGGTTACAAATCTTTTGTGCTATCCTTTTGTAGTCATTACTCACAGTTTATATCAATTTTCACATTGTCAAACTAACATATGCTTATATATTTATCAGTTATTAATCATCCATGACTAAACTATTTATTCCATCATTTTATATGAGATGTTCCAAATTTTATCTTAAAATTTATGTTATACTTTCAACCAATGGTTATATATGTCTATATTATGTCTTATATTATTAAATTTCCATCACAAAATTATCTAGTCTATTACATTAGCATGTCTTTTTGTCCAACCATTGATAAAACAAATCCCACATAATATAAAATTGTTTTCTTCTTGTTCTCTAATTTCAAATGTCAATTACTCATTTCAGCACAGTCCATAATTTTCTTAATAACTTCCTCCTGCATAGGTATTTTATTGTTTTTCCAATTCTTAGCAAATACAATCCTAGATGCTGTTAAAAGATTTACAATCAAATATTTCAGCTCTTTGTTGTATATTTCCGGTATAATTCCCAATAAAAAGATCTCTCATTTAAAGTCTATGTGTTGTTTTATCCTTGTTTCCAACCATGTGTGGATTTTAGTCCGATATTTCTTTGCGTCCAAGCATGTCCACCACATATGGTAATATGAACCAGGTATCTGATGACATTTCCAACATTTATCTGATTTATTCTTAAACATTCTTGCAAGTCTCATCAGTGGTAGATGCCAGCTGTCAGCTGGTGCTCCGTTCAAAATCCAGGAAAGAAATACTTAGACTCTTGTAATTAGAGAAAATATGTCTTTTACTGGAAGTCAGTGGTAGCAACAAGAAAATTCTGAATCTGGGTAATTAAGCATGCACATCACATATATCAAGGGAGTGAAATGTTCCCACCCCCAACAGTTCAAACGGTTCTTCCAATTAAAAGTTGTGAACTACATCATGCGGACATCTCCAGGTGGTGATGATTAGTTGACCTTGGCTTACTCAGATAAAGGGTTGCAGTTGCGCAGAGAAGAGAAAGCTAAGCAGGAATGAGAAATCCTCCCCAGTTTATACAATATTACTTAGCAACATTTGCAGCTTACATCCCATTCATTTCCCCCTTCCACCACCCCCCATTACTCATGGCAGCCAGAAAGAAGCAAAGGAAAGGAGGAAGATCTTGAAGGCTGACATTCAGCCCTCCTAGAAAAAAAACGTTAGTCCTGTAAAAGAGGGAAATATAAAAGGCACGACTTTATAACCAGTTAACATCAAAGAGACACGTATCTAGGGTTTATCAGGATAATTAGAACGAAATGCTCTGACAAGCCTAGGGGCTCTAACATCTTTTTCATCGACCCACTCAGCCTGGGATGAAGGAAAATGCTTCCAAGCAACCAAATATTGGAGCCGACCCCTCCGTCGTCAAGAGTCTAGAATTTCTTTAACTTCAAAATGTTGTTCGCCGTCAATAAGCAATGGTACAGGAGGGTTGGTCTGGATCGGTCTCAAATCGGAAGTATGTTCAGGTTTTAACAAACTAACGTGGAAAACCGGGTGAATTCGTCGAAGGCTTTTAGGTAATTTCAATTGGACTGTCACAGGGTTTACAATTCGTTCAATCGAGAAAGGACCAACATACTTAGGACCAAGTTTCTTTGACTTTTGAGTGGTTTGTAGATATCTGGTGGACAAAAAGACTTTATCGCCCACTTGATATGGGTTTTGTGGAGTCCTCGTTTTGTCTGCAAATTTCTTATGAGCCCGATGTGCATCATCCAATGCTTTACGAGCGACTGGCCAATTAAGCTGGAGTTGTGTTATCCATTCATCTAATGACTGAATACTAGGCCTTTCACAAGGGAGTTCAGGTATGGGTACAAAGTCTTGTCCCGATGCCACCTTGAAGGGGGGTAAATCCAGTACTACTATGGATAGAATTGTTATATGCCACTTCAGCGAATGGTAATAGGTCAGTCCAATTATCTTGCTGATAGTTTATGTAACACCTAAGGTACTGCTCCAATACCACGTTAGTTCTCTCACAGGCCCCATTGGTTTGGGGATGGTGGGTGGAGCTTAATCCCTGGGCGGAGCCCAATAACTTCAGGAACACCCTCCAAAAGTTCGAGGTAAATTGAACACCCCTGTCAGAGATTATGCGCTCAGGAACCCCATGTAATCTATAGACATGTAATATAAACAGTTTAGCCAACGTTTTTGCAGATGGAATCTTCGAACAAGGTAAGAAATGTATTTGCTTGGAAAACAAATCAGTTACCACCCAAATAACTGTGTTTCCCCTGCTTTCGGGTAATTCCACTATAAAGTCCATAGAAATTTCCTTCCACAGAGCCGTTGGTCTAGCCACATTTTGTAATAACCCTGCTGGCTTACCAGGAGGTCTCTTGGCTGATGCACAAATAGAACAGCTAGCCACATAAGTTTCAATGTCCTTCTTCAAAGTAGGCCACCAGAATTGCCGCTTAACTAGGTGTAAGGTTTTCATGAATCCAAAGTGACCAGCCGCTTTAGAATCATGAGCTTGTTGTAAGATTTGGCTCCTCAGTTTCTCTGGCACATACAACTTGGCTCCCACCCAGGCCAGTCCATCTCTAACTGTACAGTTATTCGAATGAGCCAGGAACCAATCATCGAGTTTTAGAGCATCCTTTAATTGCGTAGTCAAATCATTCGATAGATCCACTTCCTTCTTCTTCTTTTGGGCTCTAGTAACTACTGGAGCTGTCAACTGGTCGATTGGGACAATCGGCCGTACTACTTCCTGGCGAGCACTATTATATTGAGGTAGTCTAGATAGAGCATCTGCCATGAAGTTCCTCCCCCCTGGAATGTACTTCAATGAAAAATTAAACCATTTAAAGTACTGAGCCCAGCGAACTTGTTTGGGGGACAGCTTCCGAGGCGTTTTTAAGGCCTCTAAATTCTTATGGTCGGTCCACACCTCAAACGGGTGTTTTGCTCCTTCCAAGAAATGTCTCCAAGTAAGTAGGGCCCAACGAACCGCAAAAGCTTCTTTTTCCCACACTGCCCACCTCCTTTCGGTTTCAGATAGTTTATGGGAAGTATATGCACAGGGTTATAAAATCCCCTTCTCATTAATTTGCAGCAAAACAGCTCCCACCGCCACATCACTTGCATTGGCCTGGATTACGAAAGGAGCGTCCATGTCTGGGTGCTTTAGCACTAGTTCAGCAGCAAACAGTCATTTCAGCTTTTCAAAGGCCGTTTGACATTCCATGGACCACTCCAGTGGCTTACTAGGCTTTGGTTTTGCCTCCCCTTTGGTTTTTAGGAGGTTCGTGATAGGCAGTGCTATCTTTGCAAAAGCCGGGATAAATTGTCGGTAAAAATTGGCGAATCCCTAGAAACTCTGAAGTTGTTTTCTGGTGCGTGGGGGGCCCCACTCCAACACGGCACGCACCTTCCCTGGATCCATTTCTATGCCCTCATGTGAGATGCAATACCCTAAATAGTCAATTTTCTCCTGATGGAACTCACATTTGGACAATTTAGCATACAATTTAGCAGCTCGGAGTTTCTCTAAGACTGACTGCACTAGTTTTACATGTTCATCCCAGGTCTCCGTGTAGATAAGGATATCATCAAGGTAGACCAGAACCCCCTTATATAAATGTTCATGTAAAACCTGATTAATCATCTGCATAAATACTGCTGGAGCCCCCTGTAGGCCAAATGGAAGAACACGGAATTGAAAACAACCTATCGGGCAGTTAAAAGCGGTTTTCCATTCGTCCCCTTCCTTAATTCGAACCCTGTAATACGCTTCTCTTAAGTTGAGCTTCGTAAAAATCTTCCCCTTGGCCAGGTGGGCCAGCATGTCCTTCATCAGGGGGAGGGGGTACACGTTTTCTATGGAATGGCATTCAGGTTTCTGTAATCAACACATAAGTGAAAGGAGCCATCTTTCTTTTCACGGAACAGTACTGGGGCCACTACCCGGGGTCTAGCGGGTTGGATGAAGCCACGTTTCAAATTTTTATCGATAAACGACCACAGCTCTTCTAATTCCCGCAGTGTCATCGAATACAGCTTAGGTTTCGGGAGTTTCACCCCAGGTAAAAATTCAATACTACAATCTGTTGAACGATGAGGGGGAAGTTCATCCGAGGCCTTTTCACTGAATACTTCCTTTAAGTCCCAATATTCCTTCAGAATTTTCTCCTCCCCCTTCAGTTCCTCAGTGCCCGTAGAAGCTAGGTCAATAGGATTCTGGAGTTGTGGTTGAGATCGCCCCGCCCCTTCCGGGCGCTGGTCAGTACGTATACGTAATGACCCTCTCCCCCAATTGATGTGGGGGTTCCATTTCCGGAGCCAGGGAAATCCCAGTATTAGTGGCTGTTCCATCCCAGGGGCCACAATAAAACACAGAGTCTATCTATGCTTCCCCATCATCATTTCTATGGGTTCCATTATGAAACATGCAGGCCTGCCCCCCGCCACTGATCCATCAAATTGGCAAAAGGCTATGGGCATTTTTAAAGTTTTTAGTCTTAAGCCCATCTTCTGTACTACTTCCGGGTTGATCACATACCTTGTACACCCAGAGTCTAGCAAGGCCGGCATTTCCCCCTTGGCCCCTGATGCGGGTACCGTTAACTGCACTGGAATGGTCATAGTGCCCTTGTTTGGACTTACCAATGAGTCATCTTCCGAATCCACCTCACTCTCTTCAGAGGAGGTTGGAGATCCCAGTCCGTCTCCCTTTGGGTGGGTGACCTCTACAACCTCCCCCATCGTAAGCGCCATTTCGCGAGGCTTCGCTGGGGGGTTTTCCAGGTTTATTTTTCTCCTCTTGGCGCCCCCTTTGGTTCCAACTTTGCCCAGCAGTCTGCAGCCCGGTGACCTTCCTTCCCACATCGGAAGCAGACAATAGTCTTGAGTCTCGCCGCCTCCCCTCCCTTTTGGGGTTTGAAGGCTTCTTGAAGACGTGCGGGGGAGGGCTTGCTCCAACCAGAGCCTCCCCAGCGTCTGTTTCGGGTTAAATCAATTTCCACCTCTGCTGCCAGCACGTACCACATCTGCAGATCATTGGGGTCTCTTCTGGCAATGCAGCTCTGGTATACATCTTCATTTAAACCATCTTTGAATGCTTCTATCAGGGCTTCTTGGGACCAGCCTCGAATATAACACGCCAGCTCTCTAAATTCCTGGGTGTAGTCAGCCACTGATCTCCACCCCTGATTTATGGTCTTCATCCTAATCCTGGCCTTACATTCCGCCAGTGGGTCCTCAAACCTTGCTCACAGCGCAGTCATGAACAGGTCATAATTCAACAGCTGGGGAGCATTATCATTATGCAAAGTCACCATCCACTTTGCAGCTGTTCCCTCCAGAGCCCTGGTAATACATCTAACCTTGGCTGCTTCTGAGGAAAAATCCCCTCCATATTCCTCCATATAGCTCCAAACTTGTGCTAGGAAAAATCCCAACTCTTTGGAATTCCCCCCATATTTTACTTCCAACGGAGGCAACTTTGGCGTTCTATGTCTTCTGGCAATTACTCCTCCTGCTGAGGGCCCCGGGGCTGCTGCTTGCTATTGCAATAGTCCAAGTTGATTTATGGGGATGGCTGCTCTACTCCTTCTGGCTGGGGCTGCCTCCCACTCCTCTCCCTCATAGCTTTGTTCAGCGTGAGGCTCTCCGAGAGCTTCATCTATGAGGCATTTGGCTTGATTTAGTAAAAAGTCTTTCCCTTCCCTCTCTTGCCATGGCTCCTCTCTTCCAGGCCGACAGGTAGTGGTGACTCCTGGGGGGGGACCTTCCTCAGGATCCTCTAGCAGGAGCGAGTCTTCTTGGTCGCTGGCTGGAGTTGACATGATGTTCAGACCCCCTCAGAAAAATTGTATTATCTCTCCGGGTGGGCTGGTAGACTGAGATTCAGAATAATGTCAGTTGGTGCTCTGTTCAAAATCCAGGAAAGAAATACTTAGACTCTTGTAATTAGAGAAAATATGTCTTTTACTGGAAGTCAGTGGTAGCAACAAGAAAATTCTGAATCTGGGTAATTAAGCATGCACATCACATATATCAAGGGAGTGAAATGTTCCCACCCCCAACAGTTCAAACGGTTCTTCCAATTAAAAGTTGTGAACTACATCATGCGGACATCTCCAGGTGGTGATGATTAGTTGACCTTGGCTTACTCAGATAAAGGGTTGCAGTTGCGCAGAGAAGAGAAAGCTAAGCAGAAATGAGAAATCCTCCCCAGTTTATACAATATTACTTAGCAACATTTGCAGCTTACATTCCATTCATTTCCCCCTTCCACCCCCTGTTACTCATGGCAGCCAGAAAGAAGCAAAGGAAAGGAGGAAGATCTTGAAGGCTGACACCACCTGTAAAACATCTTTTCTTTATATGGATTTCCTTTATATGGAGCTGATATTGTCATTTTATAATTTTGAGACCACAATTTTTGCCATTTTTCTAAATCAATCCCATAGCCAAAATTTTTCCCCCAAGCAATCATCATTTCTTTAACTTGTTCCTCATCCAATTTAAATTCTAATAAGTGTCCATAAAGTTTCTTAATTACCTTTTCATCAGTACCCATCAAAAGTTTATCTAAATCAGTCAACTTATCATAAATACCTTCTGTTTTAACATCTTTGTCAAATCTAGATTGTATTTGCAAATATGAAATCTAGTTCATTTTTACACCTTGTTCTTCCAATGCTTTCATAGATTTAAGTTCACCCTTTTCATTCAATATCTCACCATATCTCACTGTTTGTTCCTTTTGATAAATTATTAGATAAGAAAAAGCTTCAATGGTAGATATCCATAATGGAATTTTTAAATAGTATTGTCTTTTTATCTTTTCCCAATTCAAAAACAATGCCTCTCAGATGTAAAGTCTTCTAAAATACCCCTGTGTTTTAGTTCCCTTGTACCAAAGGAAGGCATGCCATCCCAACAGCAAGTCATGCACTTCTAAGGTCAATAATCACTTGTTCCTTAATGTTATCCATTCCTTTACCCACATCAGATTTGTCGCCTGGTAATACAACTCCCAGGTGGTCAAAGCAAACCCTCCTCTTATTCTTGCATCTTGTAACAGTTTTAGTTTTATTCTTGCTTTTTTGACCTGCCAAATATATTTCAGCACAATTCTATTTAAGTCTTCAAAAACTCTTTCCCTAGTCGGATTAGAATTGTTTGGAATAGGTATAAAATTCTAGGCAATACATTCATCTTAATTGTAGATATTCTCCCAATCAATGATAATTGTAAATTTCCCTATTTTGTCAAATCTGTCGCAATCTGCTGTTTGAGTTTAAGATAATTATCCTCCTTCAGTGTGCTACACCTTGGTGTAATGTATATCCCTAAATACTTAACCTTGTTTGTGACCTGTATTTCTAAAACTTCTTCCAACTCTTTCTTTCATCTTGCTAACATATTCTTAGTTAATGTCTTTGTTTTATCTTTGTTTATTTTCAAACCTGCTACTTTTCCATATTCTTCTATTTTTTTCTATTAATTTAGGTGCTGTTTCCAATGGGTCTTCTAATATGAATACCAGGTCATCTGCAAAAGCTTGCAATTTATACTCTTCCTTTTTGATTTTCATTCTTTTTATTCCTTTGTCTTCTCTAATATTCCTATTCAACACCTCCAATGTTAACACAAACAGCAGGGGCAACAGTGGACAACCTTGCCTTGTCCCTTTTCTTATATCTATAGATTCTGTTAGTTCTCCATTTACCATAACCTTTGCAGTTTGTTCATGGTATATCGTTTCAATGGCTTGAATAATTTTTTTTTACCAAAGCCCATTTGTGTCAATTGAAATAAGATGAATCACCAACTCACATTGTCAAAGGCTTTTTGTGCATCTAAAAACATCAAGGCCATTTGCTTTTCAGGATGTGTCTCATAGTATTCCAGAGTATCCAAAATAATTATCACATTGTCTTTGATTTGTCTCTTTGGCAGGAATCCATTTTGGTCAATATGGATAAAATTATTTAAATATCTTTTTAGTCTTTCTGTCAGAATTGAAGCAAAAATTTTATAGTCTGAATTTAATAGGGATATAGGTCTGTAATTTTTAACTTGCTGCAGGCCTGTATCCTCCTTGGGTATAAGTGTAATATATGCTTCTGTCCATGTTTTGGGTATTCTTTTCTTTAGCATAACTTCGTTCATAATTTCTAATAGGTGAAGATTCAATATTTCCTGAAAAGTCTTGTAAAATTCCGCTGGCAAACCATCTGGACCTGGTGCTTTTCCAACGTTCTGTTTCTTTAAGGCTTCTGTTAATTCCATCATTGTTATATTCCCTTCTAGCATTGTTTCAGTATCTTTAGGTATCTGAGGTAAATTCGTTTTCTGTAAATATTGCTTAACTTTTTCTTCTTGAATATTCTCTTGAAAGTACAATTTTCCATAGTAATCTTGTATAATTTTTTTCTTCTCCTCATTTCCATAGCAAACATGTCCTTCTTCATTTATTAATTGGCTAATCCTTCTTGATTCTCTTTCCTTTCTCAGTTTATAAGCTAGCCATCTGCCTGGTTTATTTGCATCTTCAAAGTAATTTTGTTTAGCATTTTTAATTTTTTGTGCTAGTTCCTCTTTTTCCATTAGTCCCATTTTATGTTTAGTTATATCCATTTTATTTTTAATGTCTTTTTTGCGGGGACTTCTGTAGATCTTTTTTCAATCTTTTATAATAATCCTCCAATGTTTTGAAAGTCTTTTTCTGTTTTATATTTCTTTTCCTTGTATAGTCTATTATCAAGCCTCTTGTGTAGGCCTTCATCGTGTCCCAGAGATTCTGTAAAGATGTATCCTCTCTTCTATTTTCTTTAAAAAAAGAAAACCAGTTCTTTCTCTATTTCCTGTTTAAAGTCTTTTTCTTTTAATATCGTATTATTTAAGGTCCATCTAGATCTCCTCTTATATCCTTTCCAAATAACTGTCACTGGATTATGGTCTGCCAGGTGCTTGTTTCTATTTCAATCTCTCGTATGTTGGCCACTAATTCTGCTGACATCCATATCATGTCTATTCTAGACCATGATGCATGTCTGCTTGAGTAAAAAGTGTATTGCTTACTTTCCACATTTCTCTCTCTCCATGCATCTTTTAAGTTAAATTCCTCTGTTATTCGGAAGAAAGATTTTGGTAGTATCTTTCTAGCTTTCTTTGTTGATTTCTGCATTTTATAGTCCAACCGATCATTAACTATTCCATTAAGATCTCCCATCATACAAATATTAACATAGTCCAATTCAATTATTTTCATATGTAATTTCCTGTAAAATTCTTCTTAGTTATCATTTGGAGCATAGATTGCAATTAAAAGTGTTTTAACATTATTGTCCATTATTTCCACCATCAAAATCCTTCCATCGTCATCTGTGTAAATTAGTTCTGCCAAAATTGTGTCTTTAATATATAAAACCACCCCTCTTTTTTTAGATTGTGCCAGTGACATAAATAATTTCCCTATAATTTTTATAATATAATATAATAATTTTTTTTTGTGTGTATATATATATATAAAGTGTGTGTGTGTGTGTGTGTGTGTGTGTGTGTGTGTATGTGTGTGTGTGTGTGTGTGTTGTTTTTTGATATGTACTTCTTGTAGGCAAATTATATCAAATTTTAATTTCTCTAATTTGTGAAATACTTTCCTTCTGTTAGTAGCCAAATTAAATCCATTTATGTTAATCGTAATCAATTTTCTTTCATCCATGTTAAGCTTTATAAGAGGGTTTTATTGCTCTAGTAGATCTTAGTTCTCATTGCTCTCTGGGTACACCACCTACTGCACCTTCTTCTTTTTCTTTTTCAATTACTGCTGTACATTCCTCTTGGAATTCAATTAATGACTCTTCCTTTCTTGCTTCTTCCTCCTTTCCTCTGAAATATTCTAAGTAGAATAGCTCAGCTGTTTCAACTATGTCAATTCTGTGTCTTTGTTCCTGCCAGGTGAACAAGAGGCCTTCTGGCATCAGCCATCTGTAGTTTACTCCTCTTTTAAGTAACTCTTTGGTCAAAAATAAGTGTTCTCTTCTCATCTCTCTTACTCTTCTTGGTACCTGTTTCAGCACCACAATTTCTTTATCTTTATACTTTAAAGTTTTCTCTCTTGCCACCTGCAGTATCTGTGTCTTGATAATCTTTTTAGTGAATCTGATATTAACTTCTCTTGGTAGTCTGTTTCTCATTGCATATCTTGTGTAGACATGGAACACTTCATCCATCCCATCCATCATCTTCTCTTTGGTTATCTCTAATGCTTCTGCCAGTATTTCTGTCATTATTTCAGCAAGATTTTCACCTTTTCCTTCTTCTACATTTTGAAATCTTAAGTAGAATTCTGATCTATTAATTTCCCATCCTAATGGTTCACACCTGCCCTTCTCAACATTGCTCAATCGAGTATCAATATCTCCAATTTTTTGTCCCTTTGTGTATGTACTTCAACTTTTTAAAATCTGTCTTCATATTTCATCATCATCTGTTGAATATTTTCTACTTTCTCATCTGTCTTTTCAGTTCTTTGCTCAATATTCTCCATTCTCTTTTCAATCTTCTGAATTGCTTGCATAATCATCTGTAATGTCACTTCCTTCTCTTTCTCCTGTTGTGAGATTGTCTGTATTGACCATTGTCCTCCAGATGGTGAAGAGGCTATTGGTATTGAGGAAGCTGGGGCTGTTATCTTTCTGCTCATCTTGTAGTGTTTATCTGTAAAAAAAAGAGAGAGAGAGAAAAGAGAAAAGGAAAATAGAAAAAAGAAAAAAAGGAGCGCAGGCAGGCAATTGCCACTCCAAAAAATAAAAAGGGAAAAAGTAAAATCTTCAGGCACTTATCCATTATTTCCAATTATCTAATCCAATTATTTCTCTTAATAAGAGAGAGAAAAGGAAGAAAACAAAAAAAAGTAAAAAAAATTACATTCTTTTTCCTGGACTAGAAATATAAAAATCCAGCTTGCGGGGGGGGGGGGGGTAAAAAAGGAGGTGAAAAATAACCTAATGTGAAGCCAGCCACTGTCACTGAGTATCCAAGGTTCTTTAATGAATCAACTCAAAGTTTCTAGTTCCAGCATTTTCAAGGTCACTTCAATCTTCTTTCTTTCAACTTCAACTCCAGGCTCTAATTATTTATAGTTTCACAGATGGGCACCTGTGTAAACAATTTGCCATGCTCATCCCACTATCTTTTCCAGTGCAAAGCTCAGAGTCCTTGAGTATAGCACAAGTACATAAACAAACAGAAGAAAAAATATATATACCCAAGCCTCTATATGGCAGTGCTACTTTTTTTCCTTCACTTTCACTCCCCCGTCATGTATTCAATACCAGGAACAAAAATAGAAAATGAAATCCTTCACTTTTTAAAAAAATAAATCTCAAATCAAAAAGAAGAGTCTTAATCAAAACAGACTTTCAAAAAATTGTTAAGAAAATAAAAACAGAAATAGAAAATTTAAAAGAAACCAGTCCAGTTTAAAATTCAGAAGTTTTGCCAAATTCAAAGTTCCAATAAAAAGGGGAAAAAAATCTTTCACTTTAACTAGCTTAATTTCGCTGCTTAAACTTTTTTCTCTTCACTTTTAATTTCACTTTAAATCTTTCAGGCTGTTCTCTTCAAGCAATAATAAGTAAAAGTTCATCTCACCAAACTGACACACTTTCTTTCAATCTCTCTGTTCCGAGCTGTCCCAGCTTCAGCAGCTTGAATGGCTGCCTCTCCGCCGCCGGCAAAAGGGCTTTTCCTGGATCAACCAGGGATTTTGAGATGTCCCTGGGATTGACAGGACGTGCCCTTATCGATCACCATCTCTACGGGATGGTTTAGGTCCGTCAGGACCGTCCAGCAGTGGAGGTATCGACGGTGATCTTGGAGGATCAAGATCATGTGTCGTACCCCCGCGATGCCAGCTCCACCCTGGTTTAAATCTTTGTACACCTTTGAGGTAATTATAACTGTAAAATGTCTCCAATCCAAAAAAATAGACAAGAAGTTTAACTTGTTCAAAGAAAGAAAAGAGTAAATTGGCAGAAATTGCTTTCACTACATTTTGTTGGGCCCTCAAAATTGAGTGAAGAAGAAAAAGAAGAAAAACCTCTGTTAAAATTCTTCTTTCCCAGAAATTGTAAAAGAAACAATGATAGTTTGGGCAAAAAACTTGGGATACAACATTGAATTAGAATATTGGGGGGAAGTGTGGGGGGAAAACTATAAATTAACATTATCAGCAGCGTATAAAGAAAATATATATAAAATGTTTTATAGATGGCACCTATGCCCTGCTAGATTGGCAAAGATGTTCCCAACCAGAAACCCAGAATGTTGGAAATGCAAAAGTAAACAGAGCACCTTCTTCCACATGTGGTGGACATGTCCAGATGCCAAGAGCTACTAGAGTAGGATTAAAAAGTGGATAGAGGAAATAACAAAACAAAAAATTGAATTCAGACCAGCACTGTTTTTATTGGGAATAATAAGGGGAGATTATACTAAAACAGACAAATACATCATTTTACATATAACAACGGCGGCCAGAATTGTTTACATACAGTACTGGAAACAGGTTAATATACCATCTGAAGGGACTGTAATAAAAAAGATTTTGGACTGCGTGGAGATGGACAGGCTGACCTTAGAGTTAAAAGATAGAGGTGAATCAGAGTATTCTTTGGTCTGGGATGCCTGGTACACCTGGTTAGACAATAGATATAAAAGTAACATAGTAACTAATACATGAATATGAATGTTGACAATGCTGTAACATTGTTGAAAGTGTTGATATGTTATAAATTATTGGGAAATGTTTAATAAAATTTATTTTTTAAAAAATAATAAAAATTTTCCTTCCCTCTCTGCACCTTAAAGTAACAACCAAGGTTATGAGGGAATGTTTTAAATTTCAGTTCCACCCTTACTGTATTTGTGTACCTGTTCATCTTCTTCCTGAAGCATGTGAATCCAGTTTTTTCCTTTCTCATCTGCTGTGTCTCCATTTTGTTGAAATTTATCTGTTTAGTAACTGCAATACTGATGTGTTGTTGTTTTTCTCCTCAAACCCTGCCTGCAAGCTATCTACCAACCCACCCCAATCTCTTATCCTGTAAACAATGCCTTAGCTCACCCACAAAGGGGGGCGGGGAGAGGACCATGTTCTTATGTTTTTTAGCCCTGCAACATGTGGAAATAGATGCTGCCCCCAGAGGAGCCAAAGTATTGAGTTTGGATACAGTCCTCCACTGAAAGTTATCACAGCAACCAGAGTGGAGCAGACCTTCCCAAGCCTGACTGACCACCCTTACCTCCAAGCCAAGCCTAATGCCACCCAGAGCCATGAAGGAAAGGACCCTGAGATGGACCAGTTATGGACCAGACTAAATACTTTTTTTCAAACCCCAGAAGACAGCTAGAAAGACTATGGGGGAGGGTAGAAATTCATTGTAATGTTTTCTTTCTTGTCTCATTTATATTGTAATCAGTTTAATGTATTCATGTAAGGATTGTATTTGAGAGTGGTCGCCACAGCAAGTTCTGAACACCTTGGACTTCTGTCTGGCGGGAGGGAAATTTGTCCAGCATGTTTATATTGTCTGTATTGTAAAAGTAGCTGCATATACATGCACACACGCACAGAAAGACATACTATTCTGAATTAGACAGAGGTTATCCACACAAAGCAGTCATATCTCCCTGCTAATCCCATGAGGGAGGGAACATATCCCTCAGGCAATTCCCTCACTTGAAGAGATAGCAAAAAAAAAAAGAACTCCAAACCCCAAGCCCTGATTGTGATTTACAAATGATGCTGCCCAGTTGCCCAGTAAAGACGGATACGTTGCACTAGTGGTCTCATGGGTAGGTGTCCCAGGGTTCATTGTGTAATTTTAAAAAATACTAAATAGCCTGGATTGCACACTGGCTAATCTCAATTTGGCCTCACAAACCCTGGAAACTAAGAGCTAGGGCAGGTGTAGTAACTATCCCTTGGAAATGGACAGCCTGTAATTTAAAGGAAAACCATGGCTGTGAAGAACTTTGGGACTTATGCTTGCTTGAAACCTGTCTGGAAGCTCACAGAAAGTGATATCAAACATCTGAAAATAATTGGCATGGAAAATTGGATACTGTAAATTTCTTTCCAGAATTTTTCTCCTGACTGCTAGACCTTTATGGTTGAAAGCTTTTGGGAGCCACTGAAGGAATCCTTTTCTGTTGCCTCTATCAATGCCCTCCCCTTTGCATCAGAAAAACTAAAAGCACCCATCAAGTCTCCCTGATCAGATCAATTTTAATTTTTTGCCAGAAAAAAATGTTTTGGCAAAAAATGGGGGGTTGTTGGAAGTTAAAACCCACTCCACTCCTAGGAAAATGAAATATTTTAGGATATACTAAAAAGGCAGAATATTTCCCCTAAAAGAAAAGTAGAAACTCAGAGAGGCAGAAACTCACCCCCACACACACACACACACATACACCTTGATTAATGGGCCATTAAGGTCTGGGCCAGTTTATTTTACATAACAAAGATCTACCTCCTTCAGGTAGAGCCATAATAGGAATTGCCCAAAGCCCCGTCATTGCATCACCCAGCAAACTTATTGCTATTTCAACCAAACTTAGCACACAGACAACCTACAAAGCTAGCTATGACCTCTGACAGCAACCAATCAGGATATTCTTCCTGTGCCCCAGGAAGTTCAAAGCCCAGAGAGGGATAAACCCCAGGGACTCTTAGCATCTCCTTCCCCTTTTCACCCAGGATCTCCAAGCCATGTGGTCCTGTCCACCATTAAACCATCTTCCCAAGCAGTCACCATGTTTCTAGTATCTTTCTTCCCCATTTGGAACTGAGCCTAGAAGGATAGTTCTTCCAAAAGTATCAATTAGATACCTTTTTATTAAAAAAAAAAAAAGATCAATGGGGATCTGGCAAGATATACTAAAAATAATTGGCTTTTGCAATTATTACACGAAAGCCCCTGAGATTCAGACAAGCCCCATACACACTGTTACCAGGGGCAAAGGGCTCACTAATTACCAGGCCCACTAATTCATTCAAAAATATTCCTACTTTTTCAGGAAAAAGAGAAAATAAAAACATCTTAAATAGTGTTTTCATCAGTTTACCTTCCAAGAAATGGGGGTTGTGAATTGCTATTCCCCAAAAGCAAGTACATTGTAAACACATAAAGCCCTTTTCACAACACTCATTTTATGAAAAGAACCACAACAGGCTGTCAAAATTTCAGTTTGTTTTTTTTATATAATTTTTTTTTATCGTTTTAACAACAAACAAAAACACATAAAACATAAGACATAAAACATAAAAGCATCATCATCCTTCATAAATTTACAAACAGTGTATCGGTTGGTTTAGCACTTTTTTGTGCATCCATTTCATAATCTCCATTGTAGTTGTGTTACAAAATAGCTCATATTATCAATCAACAATTATATAGCCTGATATCATTATTAAACAATCAATTGACTATAATTTTATTAATTCATACTTTAACGAGATAACTATGGTTTACTTAGTTTATTTTATAGCAAATCATAAAGTCATACCAAGTCTATCTTAATAAAATTTTATAAAGATACTATCAAAGAAAAAAAAGTTTATATTCATTATTTCCTAAGTTTCTAAATATTCTATTATTATATTTTATAAAATTTCAGTTTTGTTTGTCAGTACAGAAAGATAGCCTAATCTTCTCTAGTTTTATGACCCTTTTTGCACAAGGCCAGTAAGTTATTTACACAAATTCCAAAACTAAGTTTTCAAGACATAGCTGATCACATCATCTTCCTCAGAACATGAGCAAAACCGATGAGCACAAAAACAATTATGATAGCAAATCTCGAAAACACAAAATAATGATTTGGACATTGTGATATTGTTGTCCCCAAAACTGGGCTCTTGCTTGGTGTCGAAGCCGATAAATCACCAGACACAAGGTGCGATACAATATACTTTTATTTTGGTACCAAGATATAAGGACCCTGGCTCAAAAACTAACCAAGGACCCCGATTACAACCTTACTGTCAGGCTACAGAACTTTTCCCATTCACTCAACTAGAATGAACTTCTGAAAACGTATCCAAACGTATCACAAAGGAATTCTTTATTGAGATGAGACAATTCCTGTAGGAGTTCAAAGCAGCGTCTGAGGTCTCTCAGGCATACAGGGATACATAAGGGAGTTTAGAACCCCTCCCCTTATCTCAATATGTATTTAGTGAAACAAAAGCCAGTATGTTAATTCCTCCCCACCCCTCTTGTAAGGAACAATCTTTTCACAGTTTCCTAGGGCATACCTAATTTCCCCCCCACCCCCTTTTTAGAACGAACTATTCAAGAGATTCCCAAAGTACAATCTCACTGTAGAATTTTTATGACCTTCTCATCTCCCGGTTGTGCCTCTCAGAGGTGATAGTTCTGGCCATCTGGCTTTTCTCCCTCCATCGTATCATGTGTGGGTTATATAAATTTGATATAAGATTAAATATATTCAGGTTACATCAAGAAAGGATTTCTTTATCAGCCTCCCCCCCCCTTTTCTTCTTCCACTGAAGAAATGACAGATACATGGATCTGACATCCTGCCCTCCTTAAAAAACAGATAGGTCTACCTGGAAAAAAACAAAAATCATGCATTACATTTGCAATTCAGGATGGTTTATCAGGGTATTTTTGATGGAACTTATGTAGCAATGTGGGTGCTTTTACGTGTTGTTTGGCTACCCACTCATTTTCTGAAGACGGAAGGTGTTTCCAAGCTACTAAATATTGTGTGGATCCATGATGAGCGCGTGAATCAAGGATGTCTTTAATTTCAAAATGTTGTTCCCCATGTACCATGATGGGGGTTGGAGGTGTGGGAGGGGGGGGGTCTGAGGTTTGAAGTGATCTCTGGTTTGATCAAGCTACAGTGAAATACTGGATGAATTTGCCTAAGTGTTTTTGGAAGTTGAAGCTCACGGGGTTAATAATTCTGGAGATGGGGAAAGGGCCAATGAATTTTGGTCCTAATTTCTTAGAGGGTTGTAATGATTTTAAGAATTTTGTGGACAAGTATACACGGTCCCCAATCTTGAAAGGTTTAGGTTCGCAATGTTTTTTGTCTGCATGAGTTTTGTAAACTGCTCTAGCTTCCTGTAAAGATAATCTTACCACTGACCACATGGCTTGTAAGTTATCCATCCACTCTTTAAGGGAGGGGATAGGATCTTTGGTGGGTAGTTCCGGCATGGGGTTGAATTCTTGGCCCGTGGCTACCTGGAATGGGGTGGACCCTGTGCTACTATGGACTGAGTTATTGTATGCTACCTCTGCAAATGGAAGAAGGTCAGTCCAATTATCCTGTTGGTGACTAATAAAACATCTTAAATATTGTTCTAATACGCTGTTCACTCTCTCTGTCGATCCGTCCGTTTGGGGGTGATTTCCTGACAACAACCCCTGGGTGGAGCCTAATAGGTTTTAAAATGCCCGCCAAAATTTGGATGTGAACTGAACACCCCTATCTGAGATAATCCGATGGGGAGCTCCATGAAGGCGATAGAAACATCTTTGCCAGAGAGGGCGGAGCTGATGCGATGATACGGCTTGCAATCTCGGGGCTCTGAGATTGCAGCCGATATCTTTGCTTCTGGTCGGTCCAAACAGACCTAAACCGTCCTGTAGAGACGGTGATAGTGAAGGGCACATCCTGTGGATCCCAGGGACATCGCAAAGTCCCTGGTTGATTCAGGAGAAGCCCTTTTTGCCAGCGGCGGAGAGGCAGCCATTAAGCTGCTGAAGTTGGGACAGCTCCGGAACGGAAGAGACTGAAAGAGAAAGTGTGTCGGCTTGGTGAGAACTTTTTTTTTACTATTATTCTGAGACTTAAAAGGACACCCTAAGAAAAAGAAAAAAATCTGTAAAAGTTTTGACAGAACTGAATGAGCGGCAGCTTTTAAATGGAAACGTCAACGTGAGGCTTGGCTTTTTACTTTTTTACTTTTTTTATTACTGGACTTCTATCGCGACTTAACATTTGTTAACTGGACTGGTTTCTCTTTTATATATATTTTATTTTTCTTCTCTTTTTTGATTTTTCAGTCTTTTAGATTAGAGGCTCCCTTTAGTTATTTTTCTTTTATATATATATATATACATATACTAAAATATTTTCAAGCATCTAGTTAGCAGTGTATATATATATATATATATATATATATTCTTTCCTTTTTAAAAAAACTTCTATCACGTTTTGTCTGGGAAAGGTGGGGGAAAGTGAGAGCAAAGAAACTTTGTAACACTGCCAACTAGAGGCTTG